AATGTATTATTGTTACTGTGCTATAAAACCGTGTAAATGAAATAAGACATAAATTAATTGTGAAATAACTCGAGGTTTAAAGCGTGGTATACGTGTTTTATTTAAATGAACGAACAAAAAATTAGGGAAAAACGCATTTACCTTTGTTTTTAATATTTTGTCTTTTGTTTCTCTTATTATTTTGTAACCACCTCCAATTTCACCTCGTAAAGAAGTCTGGTTAACACGTGTTGTCTAGTATAGATCCGAATCCCAACCGAAACAATCTATTGTTCACAGAGTCTTATCAACCTGCAAATAAAACCAATTAGGATCACGGGAAAACGGGATGTCACTTTTTTTCTAAATATCACATTATTGTATGGCATTTACATAAAATTGATACACCCGTGAGCGTAGGAGGGACTTACAAAGACAGATACATAATTTAATGGACTAAGTACAGAGAAACGAACTCTAGGTACATTACAATCGGGACACAAGAAGATAAGTTCTATACTGATGCACTTCGACAAAACAATATCATTTAAATTTCACTTCGTTTTAGTTAAGTTCTTATAATTTATATTCCTAAGCTCTATAAATTTTATCTCTACTAATAATATAGAGTGCAATTGAATCAACTTCCAGTAGATGATAGATTAATAACCCGTAGGAAGCAGGTTCGATCCTGGCCTGGTTATATTAACGATACAATCGATGCAGTGTATGCACGGGCAGTAAGGAAAAATATGTAAGTATTCTAAAAGCTTTATGTTTAGGAAACAGTTTTAATTTATTTTTTTTATATATACATATACATAAATAGTTTTAAGCAATTGCACAGGGATATGCTTAATGTAGATTGCATTCTTACTAATACTTCAAAATTGAGTGGAGTATAGTGAAACACAAAATCCAACACATTCTAATGTATCTTGTATTTAAAATAGAATTTATTACTTTAGGTAGGTTAGGTAATGAAAAAGGATGCATCTTCTCACTATAATTGCCATAGACTATAAATCGAGTGACCTTTATTTGAATAACTAGTTTATACCGCGTAGCCGCCCGCATTTATTGGAAAAGGGGTGAGCCCTGCTGCTTATATTACACGCCTGAATTCATTTGTCATTAAGCTTGTATTTTTTCCATATTCCGATCTTTTCTGTTGTGATAATCTGTGGCCGAACATTTTCATTGTAAACTTTGACCCACTTTATCTGTGTAAAAAATTTAGTAATTTCAAAGCATACATACAGAACATTTTAAAAATATATATTATATTAAATTCTCTGTTGACAAAAAAAAAGTTATGCTAGACATTTGTTTCCGATTTTTTGGAAATTAAATAAACTTTTTTTAATAAGTACACTATAAAAATAAACCTACATTACTAATGTAAAATAGTTGGATGTTTCTAGTAAGTCACGTAGTACCAGAGGAGAAACGCAAAAGTGATTATAACTTTGTGGGGTGAAGTTGTAATTAGTTATAGTTACAAAGTTTTATAAATATATCGCATTACTAAGTAATGCGTAATGAGTATGTACGTATGTATCTATGAGTATGTTTAGATATTGTTTCATTAAAAAGACATAGAGAGATCGCTCTTAACATCCTTATCATATTTTTCTAAGATTTAAATGCTGTTTCGATTTTTGTTTTTCTATAACATAGATGAACTCACAAGCACGGGGTAGATACTAGTTTGTCTACTAGCTAGCTAATAACACAGGTTCTTTCTGTGTTATTCAATTTTGAAGTCCTTTAATTTATTTATTTAGTCATTTAAATAAATAAATAAATTTTGTCGTTTTTTTGTATGTAACTATCAATAATGCTACTTGCATTGGCTTCTTCTTGGTTAAAACAATACATTTTTAATACGATATAAAAAATCTAGGTACAAATCGTGTGTTCTTAACCTTACCTTATCGCAGCCACAATAAAATCTTTAGCATTCTTTACGATTCAAAGAAACAGCGCATTTCTTACATATATGCATTTATTTGCATGTATTACACGTACATGTGTAGCATTTTGTTTTTTTATATTCGCGAGATGGCGTGAGTAACGTTATCCCAAGAAATAATTACGCAATAAAAACTTTCCATCAAATACTTTTTTGCATTGTCTAGAGCCGTGCGGATTGTCCAGTCGGTGACATACTTTTTTCATCTCAGAAAAATGTTTTAATAATACGTGAGTTTTTTAATATTGTACCCGTAATCGTTTTGCAAAATTTTATTAGCTTTTTGTATCACTTCATTTCGCGTTTATGAAACGGAACATCGAGTAAAACTGTCCTAACACAACGAAACAATAATAGTTTTTTACGCTTTTCGGAAACGTAATTGTCTGTCAACAGAACCGTATTTATAACAATTACACCGAATTGTTTTTAATTGTTTACAATTGGAAACAATTTTCCAATTTACCGCCTTTTGTTTATTGTCTCTCGAAGTGGAGCATAGACTAAAAATACATTTGAAACGCGATATTACGAACAGTTTGTAAAGGCCGGTGGAAGCGTTCCGAAAATGAGCAATTTTCACGTTGACAGCTGTCATTTAAGGCCGCGCAGCGAGGGTATCAAACTTCGCAAGCTGTTGATTAAAAAATAAAGCCACAGGAGCATAGACAAAAAATAAAAAAGACAACAAAGCGGCCCGCTGAAGTCAAGTGTCAAGAAAAAAAAGCTCATTTGTGACCGGTGGACGTCAGAACGAAATGATGATGGATGAATGCTACCGTTCTTTAATTTGTCGGAATAAGGCGCTGTGACGAATGGCCGGGCCCTGCTTATTTCTAGGACCTTTGGTGATTTACTCGTAATAGACGCGTACACCGGCAAAACAAGTCGCGTCAAATGAGATTCTGAACGACTCGCGCGGTTTAAAACAATCGTAACCACTTTTTAAGCGACATAAAAGTCTTTCAGCTATATTACACCAAACTAAAGTGCTCCAAAAAGAAATCTTACAACACGAGAACGCTCTGAACAAAGGCGTAATAAGAAATATGTCGAATGTCAGTCTGACTCACAAAGGCCGACAAAAAGGCTGCCACTTTAACAGAAGCCGATATTTTTTATCTTAATTTTTTTCAACAATTGTCTTCTAAGTGCTATGTCATCCATTTTGACGAGCTGCCATTGGCCGAACTGTTAGTATTGACGGCCAATCAGGGAGTCGATTTTAAAATTCGAAAGTCATCTTTCCTAACTGTTGATGACTTGCGTTATCTGTGTTATGTACAAAAGAATATAGGACGGCTCCATCGCTGCACTCTTGCTTACGGAGATAGAATCTATATACAATATTTTTGATACTTTTTATGATACAGAAGGCCAGACAAGCATGAGATTCATTTGATGGTGGGAGAAATACCCTAGCCATATACTTTCGATCTATGTTGGCTCTGGATATCCTGAATTCCACAGACTGAAACCGAAACGCGATTAGACTTGACGCCTTTTTCATCTGTGGGGCGGGTTTACTGACCTGGACGATATCGCGATATGTCTACCACCTATTTCAAAGATTTATATGTATGCACTCAACTTTTATTTCACAATGGGGGTTTAAAGAGGGCTTCATGTATAAAAAAGTAAGAACAAGGGTTAAACGTACCTCCTACTTCATCTGTCTTTGTAATTAGTTAAACTATTGTTCAATAATAATGTTTTATAATTCTTGTTTATCACTCTGTATAAAATAATGCTAAACGCGTGTGAAAGTAACTTTTCTAAGCCGATTTTGAGTTGCTTCCAAGATTGCTTCATTAGCGCAGATTAAAAGAAAACATTTTGTTTGTACTCTAATCTATAACAATGGATCATAAATATCGCAGACTAACCAAGATTTATTATCTGTAATAAAAAGTTATCTTTTATCTGTGGCGTTAAGTTGACTCTATTTGAATCGGACGAGTGTGAGAAAGAGACAGATGAAAGATTTTAATTTGTTAATTTTAATGAGGAATCGAATCGAAATAGGGAATAGAACTAGTGTGGGGCTATGACCGTTGGATGTTGTCGATATTTTCCGATTACATTATATAAAGGCAAATTATAATAGTGTGAGATAAAAAGTAAAATATAATCAAAATGATTTTAGATTTGGAATAAACTTAAAAGCGTAGTATGTAATGCATATTGGTTCTCCAGAAGTGGTGACGCCAGGGGCCACTGAAAATCAGTGTGAACAACAGAAGCGTTAGCGTGTTCATAACGTTATGTTTAAACGTTAGCTTGTTTAAGCTTATTTCATTTCATATAAACAGATATAGTTTGTATAAGTTTAGTTAATAAGATAATTTAGCTTTTTTGTATTATAATTAATGTTTTTTGTTAATATTATTAATATTAAATCAATTGTTAATCAAGGCTTTAACCAATACCATTTAGAAGGTTTAGACAATCTCGCATTGAATAGGTTACAGGCATACACTACAATATTTTTTCTTTTGTTGATCTTTTCTATGTATCGTATTCTGATATTATATAATGATCGATATATTGAATGCCAACACTATCGCAGCGGGCTCATCAAAGTGATGCGTAGCTTCAGACAATATCGGAGAAATATAATAATATTAACTTCAGATTACTTTTATATCGACAAATATAAAAAAGGCAGAGATTCAAGTATTATTTTTGTAAGTCAGATTTTGATAGAAGAATTTCAATAATGTTTAAATTATCATAAATGTGAAATAAAACCGTTTTCAAACCGTCAAAGAATTCATTCTACAATTATCATTTGCATAAAATGACAGTTAAACCAAAATTCACCTTCTTTGTCGTAAGAAAAAACTTTTACTTGTCGCAACAACACGATATTTCGCTTCCTCAGCAGTCGGTGTTGAAAATAAAGCCATAAAAATGAAAATTTCTCGTTTTAAACAGTTCGAAGTGTTTTATATATGTCGTCTAAAGCATTGAAAAGCCGCGGCGTGGTCTCTCACGCAACACATACGAGACCGATTATTCATTCTACACGGTGACACATAACGAATCAATCGGTCACGAAGAAATCCAATCGGAACGCCGCGCTCTGCCGCGAAAACCACTCTATATGGTCTATGGGTGTCATAACGAAAATGGAATGTGGTCTATGGCTGTGTCTATGTTGTGGTCTATGGTTCCTACGTTTTTTACTGCGCGTTACTTGCTGCAACAAAGATAGACATTTTTCGTCGAAATATTGATGTAGACGTTTACTCGCGTTTTTAATTACGAGGTCATTATGATTTGAGCTGTTTTTTCTGTGATAGAGTAGGACGAACATAGGATTCACTTCATGGTAGATGAAATACCCCTGCCATACGACATCTTGACAAGATACGCCGTCGTCATATTTTGGCGTTGGATATTAAAGATTCTGCTATCTTTAAAATTTTAGTAAAATCTATCACGAGAAAAAAAATCAAAGTATTAAATTTATAATATCCATAGGTAAAGAAGTTTTACAAACAAATCGCTACTATGAATACGAAACCGCACTGTCACAGATAACAAAAAAAACTTGTAATTACACCTATCTAATCTATACTACTGCACGATGGAGTACCAACAAGGAATTTAAAGTTTTATTGTCTAATAATAAAGCCTATATTCTCTTGCCTAGCCGTAAATATTTTCAGCTGCGTGTGATTCAGATGATTTCCAATCTTATTCCAAAGACACACAGCACAATGTTCTGTGTAATTAGAGTGAGATAAGAACACCAGTGAATGGTACATACGCTTAATTGTTAGGTTTGTGACATAATTACTATGTAGTTGTGTTGTCTATGATTTTTTTTACATTTGAAATTCTGGTCACGTTTAAATATTTCTCAACGAAACGAACGAAAATTATTTTAGTGGTTTTGTTTTGGCTGGGCGTGTGACGGTATTATTTTGGAAAAGTCTTAGAAATATAATAAGGATTAGGAACATTCTTATTTTCGGAATAATTAGTTCTTTGGCGTTATTATATTGCCTTATATTTGATAGATTTAAATTTATTTATTTACGTAAATGTCTTTTTTCTTTCCATGAGAATGCCATATTAGAATGGTAAAGCTTTACCTATGAAGAAGATGAAGACATTTAATTAACTAGTCTTGATTATTCAGTCTGAATCTTGCATTTCTTGTCAGTCATTTCAAGTCAATTAGTGGTTGTCAATAACTTTGGTTCTGGTAGAAATAGGTTTAGGCAAAGTTTACTAAAATATTTAGGTCTTAAAATAACCACTTACCTGAGTCTGCGTTAATCCTAAGCTAGCCGCGAGCTCAGCCCTCTCCGGTAGAGCCAAATACTGCGTCCGTTGAAACCTCCTGTTTAACTGCTGCAGCTGAAGACTGGAGTAGATGGTGCGAGGCTTCCTCATCTTCTTGCCTTTCCCGTTCACGCGTAGGCCAGGGTCGTCTGAGAGACCACATTTCTCTGCAACGAATACAAGTTTGTAGGTACAGCGGCAAGATATAGATGTAGTTTGAATAAGGTAATCAACGAGTCTGTATTTCACGAAAGTAATTTCAATGTGAAAGTGAAATAATACACTGGATAAAACATTATAAATTTTAGTTAGGTATAACAACTTCATGCTAAAAAGATAACTTTAACGTAAAGCAAGACAAAGCAAAGTAGATCTGATTAGTTCTGTTTTTTTTTATTGATGTTTGAAAAGACTCATTTTAAATTTCTTTTTTCTTTATATAGACATATACTTTTGCTTGACATATCTATGTCATATAAAGCTGAAATACATTTACATAACTTTGTTTTAAGGCTGTATGTAGGTAGTTACAGAAACTTCTCTATCTAAATGTATAGGTACAGCCGTTAACGAAAATAAATTCCTACGTATTATTAACGAATTCTAAATTCAAAATGCGCCGCGCCATAAATCAGTGCACGCAGAACGATGCAATAAATTCACAATATAAATACGAGTGCATCGTAAAATATACGAAAGGCGTCCGCTACTTGATAATAGTCAGTGGTAAGTTGTAATTATCGATATCAGATCGATCGACAGACCGCACTAATGTCGATACAGTGCCACAGACAATACACTCATCGCGACTTGAAGGGCGCTTGAGTTCGATATTCAAAAATTTAAGAGCGCTCAAGGGCTGTCATTTGTTTGATGACGTCATAAGTATCGTGATCGGATATTTGCCCCAAAAGGCTACTCGTATTTGGGACTACTATAAGCTGGAGTACCATATACCTTGCATAGAAGGTGCTAGGTATCTCATTGAATATCGACAAGTAATTTTCTATATCTTTTACTAATTAATTATTAATTTAAACAAGACATAACATTTAATAATTAAAACAGAGACAGATAAAACGGGGGTTTTAAGAAAAATGACGATGTCGATTACCTAGGCCTAAAACAGTCTCAGTGGACAAAAACATCCGGACTTTATATTTTGCTAAGTCCTCCTTTCTCACAAATAATATTTATTAGTTGAAATAATTCTTTATTTTATAAACTACTTATATTGAACAAAATAAATGGTGTATCAAAACATTACTATGATGTCTACCTATGCTCAAATAAGCCGTGCAAAGTTGTTTGCTTAACACATGAATACATCATTTTAGACGTTCATTCGCTACTCCACAGACTATAATCACAGTTTTCATGGAAGATACGGTTACGATTAATTGCCTTTGTTTATGCGCTCGGGTGACGCAATAAGGCTCTCGTTCGTGACGTTTGAGGGTGAATATTACGAAATTGATACAGCGGTGTGATTGGGATGCTGGTGACACGTATTGTAATAAGAGCGAGTGATACCGTATGGGGATTCCGGGATAACACGGTGATGTAAACTTGAGACAGTGTACTTTATAGCATTTTTGACACACACGTTGCTGCAATGGTAGCAATGTATGGCTAGCAATCAAAGGTGGGTTCGATTTCCACCGGGTTCAAAATTGTTCTGATCAATTTATAATTTCTGTCTGGAAATCTGGAGAGTATACGAACCACGATCCACAGATGAAAAATCTGGCAAAATAAATTTCGATTTCAGTCTGTGGATTTCCGAATATTCAAAGCCAAAATAGGTCAACAGTGCAACTTATTTAGGTTTTATATGGCTGGAGTATTTCACTGATTATCAAGGTTGTCTATCCTCCTATGAGCCAAAACTGGACTTCACATAAGGATGAATTGTGGCGGAGTACCTAATTGTTGAATGATAAAGAGCAAAGGAACTTTTTCTTAAACAGTTCAGTGTTCAGTTAGTGTTAGTTTGATATCGATGAAATTTATCGATGTTTATTTCTGAATTCAAACAAGGCTGGGTGAGTGTAAATCAATCTAAGCCCTCCAAATGGTTTCCCATGCATACATACATATCAACCGCTCCGACAGACGGACGGACAAAACAATGCGAGGCCCGAGGTACCGCCACACCCCGCACTAGTGATGTCACTATTATCGATAACTTGACGACGTAATGTTTTTCGATCTTAATTCCCTCTTTTTCTCACAAAGAGTACCGAGCCAGGAAAATAAACAGTCTAATTTGAATTGTCTTCATGTAAAACTTTATCAAATAAGGATACACCATCATGCATTTAACCAACAAGACTTATAGAGGTATAAAGAAATAATCTGTACGTAGGTACCAAGACACTTAACACAAGGAACAAATAGACGGATGAATACATTCACTACCGTATTATGTTATTGCTTTACATAATTTAGGCCTGCGCAAGAGTTGCGTTAATTATAACTCGAGAGTTAATTGTCATGGTTAAACGGACAAAGCGCCGCTATTTCGAATTAATTGGTTTATACACGGATTAACCTGTGCAATCGAATTAATCGGCGCTTTCCTATTGTTTTTATCTGTACTCTGTCTTTGTCTACTGGCATTGAGCCCCCCCCCCCCCAAAAAAAAAAACACAAAAAGGAAAAAAAAAAAACCCCCCCCCCCTCCTTTTTTTTTTTTACGTTTTTTTTTGAAAATCTTTTTTTTTTTTTTTAACAGTTTTCCAAAAGAAGCTCCCCATTCCTAACATCTATGTAAAGTTCATTTGGATCTTATAAAAAATTAAAACCATGTTAGCTTTACAGATAATTCTACCATACAACAATTCTTCTCCATAGTGAAAATCGTTGCTTGACTTAATGATTTTATGACTGAAACAAACGACCATGTATTTAAATAAAAAACATTTGAACGACTTAAAACGCAAAATATATTAACTTATTAAAAATTTATTTTAATTGCACCTCGACTTTCGGATGCTTTGCAGCAGCTACGTGAATATGAGTTGACTTATACACTTCACGTTTTAAACCGTTAAGTGTTCTTTTTAAATGTTTACTAAGTAGTCGACAATTAATTTTATTAACCTATAATATCTTTCGATTCCAGCAATTCATTAACAATACAACGCTTCGAATGAATGCGCTGGTGAAAAAGCAACGGAATCGAAAGGTACACAACACAAGATGTCCAACACGACTTTTTCTCTCGCTCCTGTCAACGTGTCACATAAAAATGTTGTCTGTATAAATCTAATTACATACAATTATTGTATGAATATGAATTATGCATCTCATGTTAATGCCAACGTAAAAGGCCATTATATTAAAAGTTCAATAATTTAATGTAAATTCATGAATTGCTTTTTGTTTAAGCTATTTTATTGGTGCGTTCGGTTAACAATAATCATGTTTTTGTTGTACTTCCGGTGTTTTGTTTTTTCTTTATCGACTTTTTTTTTTTGTTCGATGCTGTTTAATGGCCAATATATGTGAATATAAATTATAGAATAAAACCGACGCAATAATAAAAATATTTACACTTATGTAGATTATAGTCTAACAGAAATGCCAATTACCAGCTTCCAACCCTCATTTTGAATGTTCCTTAGAGAATTGCTAAGAAATTTTCAGCTTTCCCCAGATTTTAGAATCTTAGCTTTTTATTATAGAGGGGGGCAGATAAGCACATTCACTTGATGGTAGGTAAAATACCCCAGCCATATAATATAAAATCCAGATGCACTGTCGACCTATTTCGGCTTTGGATATTCGGTAATACGGAAACCGAAACGCGATTAAAACGCACCTTTACTGTAGACGGTGGTTCGTGACCCGGACAGATTTCGTTATTGCCACACATTTATTACCCAGAATTCCAAAGACCAACATGTTTAAAAAAAAACTCAAAAAGTTTAGAAAAATGTTGGACTCGATGACCTTACGACTCGTTGATTACCATAGTCATACATTACTATCGTTATACCAATAAGCCCCCTCCCTTTAATACCATTATTTTTGTAGCGCAATGGAGCATGGTAAGTCAGTTGATCTCAATGTATTTGAAGAGTACTAATAACCTATTTTTACAAATTAATGTAATATTATATACGTGTCGATAAGTGGAGCACATCACTAGCTAGCGTCGAAATCGTCCCGCCCACGATTCCGCCTACCGAAAGCCAAGATAAAACGAGCCTTTTAATAAAAACCTTTCCCAAAAACGTTTAGCCCTCCACAAAAACACTTTAAACTCAGAGATCGCGCTTTGCGATTGGTAAGCGATGGTCGTTGCAGCCGGACTCTGGATGGGTGAGAATTGATAAGACGACTACAAAATAGGCTCAATCTCTATTCCGTTTACTCTTACTAAATTAACCGACGTAGATGATGTTTTGAGTTGATTTTAAATCAATGTATCTACAAAAAAGTCTAAAGTATATCTTATTTAACCAGAACAGTTACTAGTAATACTGGCTGGAATTATTTTTTAAATATTCTTATTTTAAATATAACATGACAATTAAACACCTTTTAAAATCTTATATTTTCAATCTTTGCAAACCCACAGACTATAAATAAAAATATAGACACTATAGACTATAGAGGCTAATACATCAAAGAGATCGTACCAAGGAGGCTACATGTAACGCCCAATTTTCCCCAAAAAACAAAACACACACTCTCTGAGTTAAGACAGGTTAAAAGATAAAAGATAAAGATTCGTAGTAAGCAGTGACCTCCGGCTAAGCCTTGTAAACTGGGCTAAGCCGCTGCTTTATATGCTGAGTACAGGCGGAGAAAAAAGTAACTTATTGAAAAAAAAATTGTTCTAATCATAACGTACCATTTACACTTTGTGTTATCCGTACTGAAGCTAAGAATGATATTTTTATTCAACCGTGATTTAATACTTTTTACATAAAATACATATGAATACTAAATACTGTCTATAGTTTACGCGAGTAGTACACATTTAAATAAAACACTTTAACGGTTTAAAACGCGATATATTAGTCTCCCCGTGACCACGGCTGCTGCAAAGCATCCGAAACGTCGGGCCGAAGTTAAAAATCATTTTTAAATAAGTTTAACTAATATATCGCGTTTTAAACCGTTAAAGTGTTTTATTTAAACATATGAAAACTTTTCTAATTTTGATTTTAAAGGGTTAGGGCATTTCGTTATCTCCTTTTATCAATAAAATATAAAACATAATTTCAATATATTGTAACAATATCATAAATACTCGAGAAATCGTATTAGGTAATTTTATTAACAAAAACGCTTTCGTGCATAACTGTACAACCACGTGCCGAGAGCGTTGTTTTCCTTTGAAAAAACTTAAAATATACTTAAAGCAACAATTAAAAACTATAATGACGGTTTGGTACTCTGTTATTATGATAAAAATATTTTTTATTTGCGACGCTTCGGGCACAGCAGATGCGTGATACGGGGGTTCCGGGTTCGATTCCTTAATTATTACTTTTGTGACATTCGTTGGGAGCCCCTAATGTAAATAATAGACATTTGAATGACTGGCAAGTATCAAGTTTGAACAAGAAGAAAAGACAAAAATACAAATGGCGTGTTTTTGCTTTGTAGTATAAAGTGTTTAATATAATTTCACTGTCAAAGGTTAAAAATTCATCATAAATACAAAAGACTTCACTATTTTGTACATAGTGTAAAAATCTAAAGAACTAAAAAAAATCTATATTTTGAATATAGAGGAGGACAGATAAACATGGAACTCACTTGATAGGAGGTGGACATACCCCAGCCATATAAAATCTAAAGAACAGTCCAGTTACCAATTTTTAACATAAATTAAACTTAAACAAAACAAAATACAGCGTTGAACGTAACAAGCAGATAAAAATAAAGACAATAAAAAATCAATGAATATTAAAGGACAATTATTTTATCAATAACGCAATTGATTGAGTTCTTAAATTTATGATTTATAACGAAATAATTGGCGCAATTACGAGCGATTACGATACTTTTAAGGTAAAAGAAGAATATTGTTTGTATATATATTTTATTATACTGTATTTTACTTTAGACAGTACATTTGCACGTCCCTTTTTTGGAGAATGGGACAATATTATCTATATCATGTTGATGTTAGGCGTTCAATCTCTAGCAAAAACAATTTGGTATGTACTTCCGGATTTATTTGATTTTATATTATATATTTATGTATTGAAAATATTATTATTATAGATAATTTTCCAACTCTTGCACACTTATTTCTAGTGAAATATCATTTTGTGTTTGTGTTTTTTTAAATTTTATTAAAAGTCAAGATGCCAAGATTTTTTGCAATGTAACGCAACCCTACGATGCGTTACCATCGCATTTTATAATGATTCCATCTATCGATTACTTACATTTTACAAAGCTGGTGATGGCTTATGTACTTCTATGATTACAATCGTAAAATTGACTATCTATGGCAGGTTTATGGATAGTATTGTCTATGTCTCAGAAATAATATCAAGGTAAGACAAAAACATCCTACTTATTATACCGACCAAGTTGCAATGATATCAAAAACAACTATTTTTATACACGTTGAGTCAACTGCGTTTACAAATGTGCATTATTAATCTTATGCAATCTATGGAAAAGTAAAAGAAGGTATGCCATTTTTTATTTTAACTAAATTTTACACTTAATAATATACAAAATCATTATGTTATGTAGACAGCCTTCAAGGCTCAGTGCTAAATGCTTTGTATTGTAAAAGAACGGGTTCGAATCCCGAAAAAATAGAATAAATTATGTTTATCAAAGAAAACTCCAAACTTGACTATTTACTTTATTTAAACCTATTCATACTATTATACTATTACTATTTTAAAGTCGTATTTATTAAATATCTTATAATAGTTTTTCATAACGGGTCAAATAAAAAAAGGTCCCTAAGACAATTGTCATACCATAATTAATTCTAACATGCATCTATCCATCACAGCTAAAAAAAACTAGATAATCTTTACCTTGAAACAAAAGGAAGTAAAATAGAAATCACGAAATATGGAAACTGATGCATTAGAAAATCGACCTTGACGCCGCAACCGGTCGCTTAGAAAATGCACGTCGGAAAATATAAATTACGGATCAGTATCCTTTGATCGTTTTTTCATGGTATGGTCTTATTTATGTAGCATGGGTACGTGGAAAAACACGTGGACAACAATAGGACCTTGTAAATGTTAGACGTAGATTAGGTTTTTCTTAAAACTTCTATAATATTTCTCCAAATCTAAGTAAACCCAAGGATTTGGGCTCGTAAAATCTTGTTTTATTTGGTATTATTTGAAATAATCAATTATTTGATTAAAAAAAACTTCTGATTCTTACACAACATACTTAATTTTGTATTTATTTAAAATGATCAATCATAATTTCAAAATATAGACAGACACATAAATTCTAATCATTTATGGTTCCTAAACTATTTCTTTCCCAATATTTTCCTTGTCACCGAAAACCATAAAGACGCAAATAGTTTTACTGCACAATCGGTATTCGACTCTAAGACGCCTCAGTTAAATAATAATTTAGTATTTCACATATAAACATTCATTTTATTAACAAAAGAGTATATACAGAAACAATTATTAAAAGATTTAGTATAGGTAAACGTATAATTACTCAATCACGCTTATATCGAACGGTTATTTATTATCTATGGCAAATGTCAGAGCGACACCTTAATGTCAAATGTCATATGACAGTTAATTGTACAGTTTTCATAGGAATTGACAAAAAGTTAAATCTTCTTGCTAGTTGACACTATGATGTACTTATAATCGATCTTTTTTTAATACATCTATCCTCCTTTTAAGTGCGCATATTAATATCTCAATCAAAGGAATCATGAAGCAGCTAGAGGCAGAGTAACCTAACTGCACTTTTTATGACTTAGTTATTTATATTGTCATAGTTTAAAAATGTTAATCTACAAGAGCACAGTGACCGAAAATGTTTAACATAATTTTTACACAAATAAAACATAGTTTGATTATTTTTTGCCTAAGTTGATTGCGCATTTTTATTAGGAGGACTTCAAGCTTTTTGTTATTAGGCCACTCTGCCTCTAGCACCCTCATATCATTTAAGAAACGAAATTGCTTTTGGCATTGATTCTTTTCTAAATTCGATTTATTTAATTCTTAAAACTGTATTTCAGAAAACTTTTGAAATAAACTATCCTTTTCAGATTCTATTCTTGTCAACCCTAGTGTATAATCGTAAAATATTCAATAGCAGACATTATTTTGACATTTGACGGCTGTTAACACCATACGATTACGATACGATAATTTTATATTCAATAAAATTGATTGTCGTTATTACTTGAGCGTCGTACGATCCATCTTAATAGCTCACTAAAAATTAATTATCATAGTTATCTTGTTCTGCGCAATGATTGATGGAGAGAGATAATCATTTGTAATTCACACCATAATATAGATTACAGACAAATATATTATACATTAAATATGAATATAATTCGCATTAATATGTGTTAGGTTTTAGTACTAAGTAGTTTTTGCTTACTTTATTTTCAAAAGTACCAGTCCTTTTACGAATCGTCTAACATTAAAATTATAAATTGATGGTAAATATTGATTACTAGCTGTGTCAGCGACTTTCGCGTAGAATAGTCAATTTGCCCATCAAAATTTGTTCTCTGCCCGAATCCCGCGCGTCCCGTCGTTTTTGCAAGTTAATCTTAAAAGATAGACATATTATACTGTCGCGGACATTTTTTTCGATAATTTTAAGAGAAATCATTCTTGTTTACATATTTTTAAACCCTTAAAGATGAATATTTTCCCCCATTTTTTCACGTTCCCCGCTGTTTCTTTGCTCCTATTAGTAACAGCTATGTTTTATAGCCAAAAATATCTTTTCAATTCGAACTAGTAGTTCCTGAGATTAGCACGTTCCAACCAACAAACAAACAAACTCTTCAGCTTTATACATTAGATGCATTATGGTATCTGATACTCAGTAATAGTCGTTGTAGGACAGTGAAAAGGAAGTAGCATTTTACTGTCAAGTGAAGATAAATCGGCCGTAAAAAATAATACTGGCTGGTTTGGTGGTGGCGAAGAAATTCATTTAAGTATTAATAGCATATATATAATTATTATAATTAGCGTACATTCAGATAATCGTGTACTGTAAAGGCACTCAAATGTGAAAAGCAATAGAAATAATATCAATAATGACTTCAAATAAGGGTTATTCTTTTAATTCTTTATAATACAGTGGCAATTTAACTTACCTAACACCTTTTGTACTCTCAAATGGTAAATTACTGTACTTTGACGAAATGATAGAGAAGCCGATGATATAAGTAAAATTGTGTCAAAACGTTTAATACATTTAAATAGGGGTCATGGGGGTGTATGAAATTTTTCCTCGGAAATTATTTTAGATTGTGTCGCGTATATATTTACGATGAAATAACATGCGATGAGGTAATTTGACATACTTCAAATGTGCCATGGACATATTTTAGAGAAATAAGTATATTTAATATTGCTTCACGTGCCATTTCAGAGTGCGCTAGTGAATAGAAAAATATATGTTTGTGAATTATAAAAAGAGACCTAACTGAGATATGAGGTCGCTATAGGCAGAGTGGCTTAATAACGAGAAACATGATTTTCAGTAACTTGGGCGAAAATTTGTACTAATATTTGTGTAAGGATTATGGTGCTCTTGAAGATTAACATGTTAAGACTATGAAAATAAATAAAGTTATAAAATAGCAGTTAGGCTACTCTGCCTCTAGCAGCCTTAGATATTAGACATTGTGTTGTGCTAATAACAATGTATAAACATAGTGATAACCTTATCAGAATGCTTTTAACTGTACTGTAATCAATTGTACTAGAATACATATCCTAGACATTTTTATAATTCTTAATAATAATGAAGTAATAAACTCACCATCTTTAGGCGGACTTGCGCACTGCGGTGCATAGGAACCTAAATGATAACCATAGGTGTTCTGGTGCATGGGAGGAAATGGATAACCTAACGATCTAGGACTCGGAAATCCGGACGCCTCGTGGGGGTTCTGCTGGCCCCCGGGGCTCCCGAAGTGGTGGGGGTGCTGGTAACCCCCCTTGAAACCGTATCCGTGCTGCTGCAGCTCGATAAACGCAGATTTGGAGGACACGTTCGTCGGCGTCGAATTAGCAGAATTGGATATATCGTGGGGGGTCTGTGTGCCCCCCAAATGATGGTGCTGGTGATCTAACGCTTCCTGGGTGGTCATGGCTGGTTGGGGGGTTGATGGGCCCCCCCCGTCCGCGGACTGGGGAGGCCCGAAGGGATCTGAGAAACTCAGGGTGACCGGTTTTGTGTTTGGGGATTGAATTCGGGTAATTTTGAGTGATTTCGGTTGCTCGGTGGTTATTTTGACCGCTGGGTGAGCCTGGAAAGGAGAGAAATAGGTTAATTTCAATGTTATTACAAGAGTTTGTTGAACATTTATACAATTAACTTGAAGAACTCCTTTACGGGGTATTTAAAAACCATAGTCTAACAAGAAAAGTTTTAAATACTGTCTGTAGTTTACGCCAGTTGTACACATTTAAATAAAACACTTTAACGGTTTAAAACGCGATATATCGTAGTATATAGGGCCGTAGTTAAAAATAATTTTCAAGCAAGTTTAACTAAAATATATCGCGTTTTAAACCGTTAAAGTGTTTTATTTAAATGTGTACTACTCGCGTAAACTATAGACAGTATTTAAGACTTGATCCGCTACTCGATTACTTTTAATTTTATAACAATAACCCAAAAAAGAACATACAATAATCTAGCTCTTTTACAATAATTAAATAGTTGTTAAAAATATTAAAAGAACAGATCAGTGAAACGGACACAGGAACGGTCTTATGCCCCACGAGGGGAAAACGGGTTTTCACTTTATAAATATTCTTTTCTGTGCGAGTCCAACTCGCGCTTGGCTATTTCTTACTTAAAAGAAACTCTACGTAAGTATATAAAAATGGCGCGTTTGAACATATTCGTCGGGTTATACCAGGTCACGTGATTAGTGTACAGTAAAAATCTTGACCGTTACGCATCAACGTAACGATGCGATGTTAAATCGGATATTCAAAGTAACGAATAACGTAGTAATCCCGGCATTGATTACTAACCTCGGTTTTGTATTGGGTAAAGGACGAGAGAAGAACAAATTATTATAAAATGGCTTCTTATGATAGAGGAGAACAGAGAAGCACGTGGTTGGCATAAAAGGTGATATAAGCCAGCCATGTAACAAACAACTTCAACAAGATGCGCCGTCGACGTATTTTGCCTTTGGATATTCGGAGATCCACAGACTGAAATCAAGACGCCATTAAACTTCACGGCGCTTTAATCTGTGGACGATAGTTCGTGACGGTCGTTATTTAGAGAGCCTACCACCGATTTAATACTAAGATTTTCACACGAAGAATAACATGTATTGGAAAAATTAAAAATTGCTTAGATTAACATGCTGGAACCGGTGACGAGAGAACCGCGACCTATTGATCATTGAGCATTGCTACCATTGACCCAACGGGCCCGTCAAATTCTTACTTCGAAAGTAAAGTAGAGTTTTGAAATAATTATTATATTATATTTAAATAAATCACTTTAACGGTTTAAAACGCGATATATTAGTTATACTTATTTGAAAATTATTTTTAATTTCGGCCCGGCGTTTCGGATGCTTTGCAGCAGCCGTGGTCACGGGGAAACGTCGGGCCTATTTAAACATCATTTCCAAATAAGTTTAACTAATATATCGCGTTATAAACCGTTAAAATGTTTTATTTTAATGTGTACTACTCGCGTAAACTATAGACCGTATTATATTATACGTAATTTCTTATGTTAAAAACTATATTTATGTAAACTTTTGTGTACTCGCTAAGATAGAAACACAATTTTATAGTGGCGTAACGCCCACCCGGGGTCAAGTTTCCAAAACAATATGTTCAGCCGTTGATGCAATATAACCGGTCTGTAGAATGTCTTCGGCAATAATCGAACTTTATGCTTTGACCTTCGTTCTACACATTCGGGCTTCGATTCCTAGGAAAAACAGAACAATATACTACTAAATGTTGTATTTGTATTTTTATCTATTTGGGGACAAATAAAATGTAGAACCGATATCTCGTACACACGTCTTCTTTAGATTCTACTCTCTATGGCAAGTTGGTCTGACTTCTGTGCCCTCTCCGACCTAAACTTTATCATTTCGGTTTTACCCTTTTGATGAGCGTTTATAGCTATGTATACAGGTATTTCTCATCAACATCACAACTGATAACGGTTTAAAATGTGGTAATAATATATTTTAAGTGTTTCTTTATGATTGAGGAGGAGAGACAAGCCTTGGGTTCTCTTGCTGGCAGGTATAACTTCTAAACAAGATGCGCTGTCGGCCTATTTTGGCTTTGGGTATTCGAAAAAAAAAGTACTTAATACTGATATTATTTACTGCGATCGGATTACGCAGCAGCACTCAATATGAGGGGTAAAAATTGGTTTCGTGTTTTAAACCGTTATTAACCAATAAATTATGCATTTTAAGCCGTTAAAGGCGTTTTAACACTAACTGACCGGGCAAACGTTTTTGCCATTTAAAAACGTCTATAACGTCGTGAACTTTTTCCATAGATTACTTAAAGATGATTCGACCTTTTTTTAAAGATTTCTGGGTGCTGAACCGTTTTCCAAGCGCAAACTCGAAACCCTTAAAGATAAATAATTTTCCCCGTTTAAACATTTCCTTCTGTTTGTTCGCTCCAGCTTTATAGCCTTCTTCGATAAATGGTCCAATCAATACGAAATCAATTTTACAATTCGAACTAGTAGTAGGTACCTGAGATTAGCGCGTTCATACAAACAGACACTTCAGCTTCATAATATTAGTATAGATGTACTAATTACACGCGTGAGCTATAAATACCTCCTGTGTTTCCATTTACCAAAGAAATTGTAAAATAAACTAATTGGTAATAGTCAACTACGTCCAAGGAACAATGTCTCAGAGCGCGAGAAAAGTTAGACTTCAAGAACAAACGAATTGGAACAAAAAAAAACCTTTCGGCGAGTTTTAATTAGCGCTATCCTTTTTATCCCTTTAACCTCGTGTATTTTTGTCTCATTTCTTTAGTCTTTCGCCGCGCGGCGCTTAGACACAGTTTAATAAAGACAGTAGGGACACAACTTAATTACCCACGTCCAGTGTGAGAAACTTCGGGTGATATTTGAAAACTTTAATAATTTTCACATGTTATTGCATATGGTGGCGTTTTTCTTCTTCTTTTTAAATTACAATACATTGTGAATTAATTTGTTTCACTTTATACTAATATTAAAAAGCTGAAGAGTTTTTTTTGTTTAAAGCGCCAATCTCAATTCAATTCGACCCAGTAGTTACTGGGTCGAATTGTAATATTTCAATTATCGACACGGTACCTCAATGGGCATGGGACGCTCTTGATGCCGGTTCAAGTCCTGCCCTGTTCAAATCTTAATAGATTTTTAATTTACTTCAATAACTTTATCTACGACATAGTTGTGTAGCATTGTAAGTAGTTTTCTGGGTCGGTATATTATTTTGACAAAAGTCATACACCTACAAGGGAAGAAAACTTAAGAATACCCGAATGGATAACCTTTAAACATTGATGTTTATCAAAGACTTCAGCGCGGTATCAGTTTCACGAGTTAATTCGTTCCCAACTGACCCATTTAGTCTGTCGGTTAGGTCGGGTCAAACCGTTTTATTTTTTTATCTGTCCGTTGATTGCTCGGCCCGTAATAATAATGTTTAGACTCAACTAATTGGTGTAAATTTTTATTGGAAATTATCATGACTGTCATTGGTTTAGTAAATCAATTGATTATTGTATTTACAATTGATTAAAATATGGAGATTATCAAATCAATTTAAACAATCTATTACCATAAACATATATCAATAGTACTTATTCGATTTGTTTGCAAGACTAATAGTATTAAGTTAATACAACTCTAACAAACAATTCGTAATAATTTCGACCAAATTTAATAACCACGAAAACGGTTCTTACTAGTTTATCTTACAAATTAGACATTTTTTTGGATTATCTAAGTAAGAATAATTCTTTCGTACATATTTTTTGGTTGCTTGAACCGTTCTCGCAGCGCACATAACGCAAACCCTCAAAGGTTGTGCTGTCTCCGTTTTATATCACATTTTGTACTGTTTTTTCTATTAGTATTAGCGAGATGTTATGCAGCCTAAATACTTCTTCGACAAACGGTCTGTCTCATACAATTTTTTTAGCGCGTTTAAACAAACAAACTATTCAGCTTCATAATATTAGTACAGAAAAAAAACATTAATTTAATTTACAATGGGATATTTAATCTAATAGGTACGAGGAGAACACTAAGAACAGGACATCTTAACAATGGGTACGTCAACAAGTCGTCTCTGACGGTGTGATTTATCAAGGTACAACTGTTAAAAGTTAAGTCAAGCGCGCTCAACTCTCGCGCACAACTACATTCGCCTGCAACTCACGAAGTCTTAGGTTCAATCTCAAGTCATATAAAATTTTATTCCGGGACCTGTTAACTATTTCTAATATCAGCCAAGAATCCAGAAGTTGGAGGTGTCATCACCCTCCTGCCAGTAGAGCACGTTAAGCCGTCGGTTCTGGTTATAATATTACTTAGTGGTAGGCGTTAAAGCCCGATAAACCGCAATGGAGGAGCGCGGTGGGTCTGAACTGATTTTTCTTTCCTGTGGGAGTGGAAAGCTGTCCGGCAATATATTTTGACCGGCTCCTTGGAGTAAATTCAGTCCGGTTTACGAACTATCGTCCATTGATGAAAAAGCCGGCAAGTTTCATCGCGGTTTCATTCGATTTCCGAAGCCCATGCTTGGAAAGTCGTAATAACGTGGATTCAAACGTTTGACATGGGCAAAGAAGCCAAATGGCTCTAATTTTTCGTTGCAATCAACCTCGTCTGTGTTTTGTTATGCTTCCCTAATTATAGTATATTAATACCATTCTTGATATACAAAAAAGAAGTATTATTTTTGCCATCGCAAGAAAACTAACGTATCTTTACTATTTCGTGGTACGAGTAAAACGTTGCAAATTATCTACAGTGCTTTCTAAAGCAAACACAAAAGATATAAAGTCGCAAAGATTTGCGTGTTTTCGCGATGGTCATGCAAAGATAATCAAATGGGACAAGGTAAGGCTTGCGATGTGGGCTCTGTTCTTTTACATTGTAATCTGTGACCGGCTGATTTAAAACCTCATTTTATACAACCTCATTTCAAAGGCGCGCCACACATTTATCGTTGCTTATTAATTTCCTTGCTGCCTATTATTTATTTGTTTCTAAATATTGAAACGCGATGAAAATGGCAGCTATCTGTATATAAGTGTGTATACAGTATTGACTCGGACAAAATATTACAGACTATAGATCCTATTTACTTAAAAATGTCTTTAATTTATTAAGTTTTTTTTTTAATTTTACAAAATTAATAGGTAAATCTTAACAGATAAAATATCGATTTGACAATTGACAATAGAGTATGGTTTTTGCGCCATTTTCTTGAATGTTTTTAGACACTGCATTGACCGGAAGTTACCGCACATTGCAATGTTAACATTGGTAGTGCAAAGTTACCCCAAGTTTGTGCTTAGCCACGTAGATTGGCGCCAAGACGCTAACGGGAACAGTTTTCTTACAAACGCAATTAAATCAATCGTAAAACAAAGCGTATCTATTGAAGTGTATCGTGGGAACCTGCCTCCCTTTATAGACAATCAAATATACGATGCTACGCCTCATTGACTTAAGTACTTTTAAGTGATCTAGGGTTTAGGGTAATAAATATCTTGACCAAAGACAGCTAATTCAATAAATCCTACCTGCTTGTATGTCCGAAAACGTTTGGGTGCATCGATCTTGTAAGTAAATCAGTATAACTTTGTATCGAAAGATATACCTACCTATGCACTAATTTCTATTTAATTCTGCTCTGTGTTATTTGTAGGTATGCAATGAATATCGAATTATAAATAAACTATTAAAGAGGTTTTTATTATCAGAGGGTACTTAAAGATTTACGTGTAACCGAAGCGTCTACCAGACTTTTTAGCCGAATGACAGACCGGAACTAACGCCATACAAAAAGATTATATACGATATTCGACCTTCAACGAAAACTTAAAAATCGAACTATACTAATGGTTAATTAAATTAAACTTGAAGAAAGATCAAATAGCCCGCCCAACGGTACTCCACAGATTAGTTAAAGCGTATCCAATCCTATATTTTCGATCGTAAACTGAATAGCACGCGAACGCTTAGAAAAAAATATTAATTCGTATTTTTATTATCTTTGTTAATTAATGCTAGATTTAAGAAACATGCGATCGGCTTTAATGACACGATATCTGTTCAAATAAATTTGCGTTTGGGGTAATATTTATCCGATTGTCAAACGATTGTGGTTTAAATTTAATATTTAGACGTATGTGAGTATTATAGTACTGATCATTATCTATGAAAGAAGTAAATAATAGGGATATTATATATTTTTAAAAGTGAAATGTAGGTAGGTATATCTAGTTCTCGTAAAGGTTGCTTATAGACTATTTTAGCTATTAAGAGTTACTATGAAATGATAAAACGTTAAATGCAATTCTCGAAAAATAATAAGGAACAAGACTATTTGTCAATACAAATTAACCTAGGAACTTGATTATAAATTAATCCAGCTACCTACAACCTTCCTATAGGAATGAATGAGACAAACGTATAATTTCATAATGAGCGCGTTAATTATTATCTGTCTATAATATTGATAAACACCAGTGTCGCATGTCAATGGCAGCCATTTTGAATTTGTATTGATGATTGACAGGTCTATTGTAATGGCGACCGGTTAGCGCGAAATAGTCAAAACAATGTCATTTTAATTTTAAACAGTTTTAATGCGATTTTGTTGTCAATTCCAGGGTTTAATTGTTGATTTATTATTTTTTGTTTCTAGTATTGAAATCTAATATCAGGCAAATTTCAGATATGTTTTATATCTCGGGTTTAGTTAAGAATGAAAGCGCTTGCCTCTATGCAGGGCATGAGGATTACACATTTTAGTGTATGTAAATTTAACTAATACATATCGCGTTTTAAACGTCTGTTAAGAAAGAGATAACTGCTTAGCAATAAGGCCGCCTCTTATATATTAGTGAGTATGTACGATTTTTTTCTTTATATTTGCTTTGTGGTATATGTTATAGATAAATAAGCTGTAATAAAAACATGTCTTCCCAGGTCGTCATTGACTAACTAACTAAGACCACTTTAGTTTACCTCTGTGTTTGGGAAATATTTAAAAATGGACCCACGGTAGCAAAATGGAAATAAAGGAATAACTTGTTGAATTTGTGAATTGTGTGAATTTTATGTTGGTATGCGACAAAAATAGGCATTATATTGTATGAACATTTACAATTCCATTTCATTTATTACTAGATGAATGTTACCAACACAATATCTCTAAATACACAAAGATGTAAGAACATTTTTAAATTTACAAATACAAACTCTTGCGCACGCGTTTCGATTCGTCAATAAACAATAAAAATAGCGTCAGTCCAACTGCAGCAGTGAAATGGCAATAACTAAATATTATCTCAAGATATGCATATTCATAACATACTAATTACATTGATTATAAATAAAATTACAATTACAATGTAATCGAGTGTCTTGCAGCTGCCGCATAAAAACGTTGATATTTTGATAAATAATCGATAATTTACGATATTTCGGCGCAAAAAATTGCTATTAAAAGGCAATTTTAGATTAAACGACGGTAAAACTTTACGACTTATGCGTTTTTTAGTGTTGAAACTTCGAGTGTTCATCGGATGTGCAGCGGTTTATAATCAACAGGCA